TGTGTGTGTGGAGTTCCCTCGCTCATGGCCGGACTCCTCTGATCTCCGTTTCAGTCTGATGAAGCCAAAGGCAGAGCGAGGAAGAGGACGAAGGGGATAAATTGCCAGCTCGTTATGCCTCCATTGTTTCGTCCTTCTCCCGTCTTTTCCTCTAATTTACGGTTTTACTCTGTGACTGAATCTGGAAAGTTTCCTCAGATGTGAAGCATCTTTCCTCTGATGCAGCGAAGCAGCAGATTTACAGAACGATTCGACCTTGAACTGACCTCCCTCTCATAGGAGAGCCAGATCCTTCATCCATCGGTTTGTAAAGATCACAGAAGAAAAACTCAACATCTGGTCCACTGCTGCTCTCTAGCGCCTCCTACAGGAGGCTCAGGTGTTTCCAGGCTGATCTCAGTTAAAACCATCATCAGTTCACACTGAACTGATTTCATCTTCCCAGGTTGACACGACGCCACACAGAAACGCCACCAGTAGCTCCTCCCCTTTCGGCAGAGGCTCCGCCCACATGGCAGATCCTGGACGAGTGTTCAGGCAAAATAAAGGGAAAAGAGACGTGTGTGGAAAAGAAGGCTGTGTAAGGCTGATGGTGTTATGGCAGTCCAACAAAAGTCAAAGGTCACAGCAAGAAGCCACAATGGAAGCTGTGATAAAATGGCAGCTAAAATGTAAGCTACGCTAACATAGAAGCTGCACTAAAATGAAGCTATGCTAGGAAGGAGTCACATGATCCTCTCCTTAAGCTTCAATAAACTTGTTTACTGAATGGAAGATAAAAGTTTCTTCAGTTTATTCAGTTATTAGTTATCAGGATTATTGACGAAATGTAAAATGTGTTTTTCCACAGCGAGGTTAAACAGATTGAAGCAAAGTGACATCGTTGCATGTGAACTGATGAATCCGTTCACATGCAACAGAAAACCGATGGAGACGGATCATCAGACGCACAGTTCAATTCAATGAGCCTCTGAATAACCAGCCGGATGTTGATGCCAGCAGAAACGGCAGCACCGTTAGAGCTGCTGCCCCCGCTTCGTTTCGCTGAGCTTTTCACTGCCAGGAGTCACTTCCTGTCATTAATTATGTTATTATTGCAGCCGGAGAAAAACTTTCACCACATCAATGCAACGAGCGGCGAAAACAAGCAGCAGTCACTCTGGGACGACACAATCGATAGGAAACGTGCTGAAGAGAGGCGGAGGAAGCTGACCGGAGCAAACAGGAAACAGACAGCAAACTGGAAACTGACTGGAAACTGACTGGAATACACTGACTGAAAACAGGAGGCAAAGGGAGCAGAAACACAGATCCTCCCCTCGGCTGCTGAGTTTCTCATGTCTTCCCATCTTCTGCTGATGTCAATGAAATTGTTTCGCTGTTGTGGTGTGTCCACTAAATAAGAAATAAAATTAAAATCACAGTAAAATCAGCTTGTTAATGCGATAAATTATTAAAAGTCATGACAGTGAAGGATGAGACATTGTCTGTCAGCCAATCAGAGGCAGCGTCAGCGCGTCCGATTGGAGGTTGATCCAGGTCGCTGGGGTCAAACCAACTCTGCAGGTCCAGCTGGTATTTCAGGCATTTCAACCCAAAACTGACTGAAGAAACAAACCAAGAGTTTTTTCCCAGCAGTCACTTTAACCAGACTCCAGTCCATCGGTCTAGTCAAAGTCCAGTTGGGTTGGTGAGGTGTGAATGCCAAGTGACCTCTGACCTCTGGGTTCGATGGAAGTGAACTTTGATTGGTTTGAATGTGAACGCCAAGCGGACCAGAGAGCGCTCCAAAACCAGGAAATGGACTACAGCGCAGGGCATTCTGGGTAACCAAAGCTAACATGTTAGCCTAGCGCTAGCAGCAGAAATGGCTCCTGGTCTTCAGCCAAAGACTAAGAGAAATCACTAAACTCTGACGCCTCCATCTTGTTTCATCTGGTGAAACAGGAAGTTGCTCTCAGCGTCTCCAGAGGTTTTAGTGTCGTTTCCTGCAGTGGTTGTTGGTGCAGCGCCCCCACAGGCCAGGAGGGGAATAGGCTGGTTTGGGTCAGAACCACAGCAGCTGCAGGTGGAGCAGATGTTCTGGTTTCAGTAGAACCGGGTCAACCGGACCGTCAAGGGGAAAAAATGGAGTTCATATAAAAGTAAAGAGTTTAAAGCTTTTGTTCTTTGTCCTTCACATTGGATGAGGAGCTTCAGAACCTCGTCGAGTTTCCTGATGTTTTTCAGCTGCTGCTGAGATGAAACCCGGTCAGGTGACTTCCTCCTCCTCCTCCCCACCTACTTCCTGCTCCTGGTTCGCCGCCACCCTCCGGTCCCGTTGCATTCTCCAGTCAATGAATTTCATCATGCGTGTCGAGGAGGAGGAGGAAGCAGATCCACGTTGCATCAGTTCCAGATTTCTAAGAATAGAAGAAGAAAAACAAACGGAAGAAATGCGCCGAGGAGGAACAGAAAGCAGATGCTGCAGCTCTGAAATCACATGCCGTGTTTATCACATTACATCATCTCTAACAGCTTCAGCACAGATTACATCAGCTACGCTTTACATACCAGGCTGAGGTTTCATCGATCAGCCAGGAAACTGGTAAAGCTGAGAGGAGTTCGGCCCACAGAGCAGCGCTCGATGTCATGAGGAGACATTTTTACAGCTGATCTGCTCAGAGACCTCAGCAGTCAGTTTGAAATACAAACTTCAGTCAGAGGGTAGAAACTGGTTCTGGGAGGACCGGAGGAGGATCTGACGGACGCCGTTCCTCTCCCGCTGAGCGCAGCGCTCATTTCTCTGCATTAGACCTGAAACGTGTCGCAGGAAACGCAAAACGCTCCCGATGGAAATCAGAAGGGAAATCAGAAGACTTCAGTCTGAAACAGACGTTTGTCTGCCAGCAGATGAGACTGACATGTTAAAAGTAACAACATGTCCCAGAAGTTACTGTGACGAACGATGACAAATCAGTTTAATTATGGTTCAGGTTTGGTCTATTGGAGCTGACAGACGGGCCGAGCAGAGACGTCCCCAACACGGGCCGAGCAGAGACGTCCCAACACGGGCCGAGCAGAGACGTCCCCAACACGGGCCGAGCAGAGACGTCCCCAACACGGGCCGAGCAGAGACGTCCAACACGGGCCGAGCAGAGACGTCCCCAAACACGGGCCGAGCAGAGACGTCCCAACATGGGCTGTGATTCTGGACTGCAGCTTCAGTCTCTTAAACGCCTCATTCTCCCTCTTGTGGCCGTCAAACCATTTGGATCTGATGGTGTTGCTATAGGTCAGAGCTGCCCAAAGGTCATCCAAAGGTCATTTATGGCCCTGACTTTATTTACGAAGGACAAACAACAGGTTAGTGATTTTAGCTTCTGGTTTTATCTAAATCTCTTTACTGGGACAGAACAACATGGCCGCTCCTCACATCTGGTTTCAGGAAGCCGGTCCTTCAACTCCAACCCTGGAGCTCTGACCTTCTGACCTGTCGGTCCGACCGGACCTCATCTGGTCAGCAGCGCCTCGTTTCACAGATAATCTGGATGATGATGATGACGAAGGGTCTGCAGCCATAATGAAGTCCAGAGAAGCTGCTGCTTCTCTCCACCTGCTACAGAGGAGGAGGACGTCGAAGGTGTCAGCTTTCATCCAGCTGATCAGCTCGCTAACACGGTTAGAGCTAACAGAGCTAACTTTGTTAGCATACAGGCGTCTGCGGTGGAAATACCAGAACCTTCAGGACGTTGCAGAAACAGTACAGGAGGAGGAATAGGAGGAGGAGGAAGAAGAAGAGAGAAAGGAGGAGATGACGCAGAACTCATGCCGGGCGCTGCCCTACTTTTCTCCTCCGCTACTGGATCAGGCTTCCCCAGAACCCACCGGGTCCCCAGTCGGAGCAGAACATCGACATTTCTCCTAGCGTTGCTCGATGAACACGGTTTTAGGATTCATTAATCTGCTGACCGAAACGCAACGAGAAAACTGAGTTCAGAGGTTCAGGTAAGAGAACAGAAAGCACATTGGTTAGAACCATAAAGCAGGAAGTGAAAACTAAGTGCATCCTCACTGCTTCCTCCTGGTTGAAGCATGAAGCAGAACAAAAATGGCCGCCTGGAAGGAGGAACTCTTCTCTCCAGAACAAGATGGCGGCAGGACTGAAGTCCACTGAGCTGCATCAGGATGGAGGAGGAGGAAACATCATAGCCCACAGAGGAGACCAGAGATGATGGACCAGAAACACCTGAGGAGGAGGAGGAATGATGCTGTGGGCTTGTGAAACTCTGTCTGTCGCTGAGTGGATCATGATCTGCGGCAGCTGATAGGGACAAACGGATGATGCAAACTCCGAGACACACAATGCAAAAAAAAAAACAAATGCAGCAGAATAATGTTGAGAATGGAAAAAAGTATAAAACAGCCCAAACTGACTCCAGTAAATGCAGGTCCTCCAGACCACTAGGGGGCATCACCTGGGACCAGACAACCAGGAAAGACGGGAGGAAGAAAAGCTGCGTTTGGTTGGTTGGTTGTAGGTTTTGGTTGGTTGGTTGTAGGTTTTGGTTGGTTGGTTGGTTGTAGGTTTTGGTTGGTTGGTTGTAGGTTTTGGTTGGTTGGTTGGTTGTAGGCTTTGGTTGGTTGTAGGTTTTGGTTGGTTGGTTGGTTGGTTGGTTGTAGGCTTTGGTTGGTTGGTTGGTTGTAGGCTTTGGTTGGTTGGTTGTAGATTTTGGTTGGTTGGTTGGTTGTAGGCTTTGGTTGGTTGGTTGGTTGTAGGCTTTGGTTGGTTGGTTGTAGGTTTTGGTTGGTTGGTTGGTTGTAGGTTTTGGTTGGTTGGTTGGTTGTAGGTTTTGGTTGGTTGGTTGTAGGTTTTGGTTGGTTGGTTGTAGGTTTTGGTTGGTTGGTTGTAGGTTTTGGTTGGTTGTAGGCTTTGGTTGGTTGTAGGCTTTGGTTGGTTGGTTGGTTGTAGGCTTTGGTTGGTTGGTTGTAGGTTTTGGTTGGTGGTTGTTGTAGGTTTTGGTTGGTTGGTTGTAGGCTTTGGTTGGTTGTAGGTTTTGGTTGGTTGTAGGTTTTGGTTGGTTGGTTGTAGGTTTTGGTTGGTTGTAGGCTTTGGTTGGTTGGTTGTAGGTTTTGGTTGGTTGTAGGCTTTGGTTGGTTGGTTGGTTGTAGGTTTTGGTTGGTTGGTTGTAGGTTTTGGTTGGTTGTTAGGTTTTGGTTGGTTGGTTGGTTGTAGGTTTTGGTTGGTTGTAGGCTTTGGTTGGTTGGTGTGTAGGTTTTGGTTGGTTGGTTGTAGGTTTTGGTTGGTTGGTTTGTAGGCTTTGGTTGGTTGGTTGTAGGTTTTGGTTGGTTGTAGGCTTTGGTTGGTTGTAGGTTTTGGTTGGTTGTAGGTTTGGTTGGTTGGTTGTAGGTTTTGGTTGGTTGTAGGTTTTGGTTGGTTGTAGGTTTTGGTTGGTTGTAGATTTTGGTTGGTTGGTTGTAGGCTTTGGTTGGTTGGTTGTAGGTTTTGGTTGGTTGTAGGCTTTGGTTGGTTGTAGGTTTGGTTGGTTGTAGGTTTTGGTTGGTTGGTTGTAGGTTTTGGTTGGTTGTAGGCTTTTTGGTTGGTTGTAGGCTTTGGTTGGTTGTAGGTTTTGGTTGGTTGTAGGTTTTGGTTGGTTGGTTGTAGGTTTTGGTTGGTTGTAGGCTTTGGTTGGTTGGTTGTAGGCTTTGGTTGGTTGTAGGCTTTGGTTGGTTGTAGGTTTTGGTTGGTTGGTTGTAGGTTTTGGTTGGTTGGTTGTAGGTTTTGGTTGGTTGGTTGTAGGCTTTGGTTGGTTGTAGGCTTTGGTTGGTTGGTTGTAGGTTTTGGTTGGTTGGTTGTAGGCTTTGGTTGGTTGTAGGCTTTGGTTGGTTGGTTGTAGGTTTTGGTTGGTTGTAGGTTTTGGTTGGTTGTAGGTTTTGGTTGGTTGGTTGGTTGTAGGTTTTGGTTGGTTGGTTGTAGGCTTTGGTTGGTTGTAGGTTTTGGTTGGTTGTAGGCTTTGGTTGGTTGTAGGCTTTGGTTGGTTGGTTGTAGGTTTTGGTTGGTTGGTTGTAGGTTTTGGTTGGTTGTAGGCTTTGGTTGGTTGTAGGCTTTGGTTGGTTGTAGGCTTTGGTTGGTTGTAGGCTTTGGTTGGTTGGTTGGTTGTAGGCTTTGGTTGGTTGGTTGTAGGCTTTGGTTGGTTGTAGGCTTTGGTTGGTTGGTTGTAGGTTTTGGTTGGTTGGTTGTAGGTTTTGGTTGGTTGTAGGCTTTGGTTGGTTGTAGGCTTTGGTTGGTTGTAGGCTTTGGTTGGTTGGTTGTAGGCTTTGGTTGGTTGGTTGTAGGTTTTGGTTGGTTGTAGGTTTTGGTTGGTTGTAGGCTTTGGTTGGTTGTAGGCTTTGGTTGGTTGGTTGTAGGTTTTGGTTGGTTGGTTGTAGGTTTTGGTTGGTTGTAGGCTTTGGTTGGTTGTAGGCTTTGGTTGGTTGTAGGTTTTGGTTGACTGTAGGTTTCGTTGCCATGCTCTGTGATTGCTCCAGTTTCTGCATCAGTGGCTTTGAGATGTGAGCAGCTGCTCCTTTCCGCATCCAGTTCAGGTGTGACATTAAAACTGATGTAAACACGGTACCAACAAAGGTCAGATTTATTACGATCTAGTTAAATGTGCATCTGAGCTGCAGGACGGCGACGCGCTGAGCAGGTAGCCGCTGCATGGCGGCGTCTCCAGGCTGAGCAGGTAATCAGTTTAACCTTTACAGAACAAACCAGGACGAAGGCCACCAGGTAGTCTTCATCATGTTTAATATTACAGCCCAGAGACAATCGCTGCTTTGAAATGTTTAATCAGAAACGACCAGCTGAATGTTCCCCGGCCGCCTTCTGGGGCTGTTTCTTGGCGGGTCCTGGTTCTGGTTCTGCTCGGCGGTGGGACTGATGTGTTGAAGCTGCAGATGCTGAAGGAGTTAAAGTAAATAAGTTTCTCCTCTGATCTGCAGATTCACGTCTATATTCTGCGTCTCATTTCCGTTTTAAGGCCTGCTTCCTGAACTGGCACTCATTACAGAGAGCAAACTGCTTTAGCTGCTGCTCTACAAACAGAGGCGGCTCTGCAGCTGCAATCCATCATCTTTACTCCCTAACGAACTTACGAAGGCACAGCGGCTCACGCAGCCTGAGGGACCCTCAGACACAATTAGGAACAAACTCAACTTTTTAACAGAGAGGGGAGCCGGCGGCGGTGCGCAGGAGCGCCAGGACGCCCACGGGCGCCAGATCAGCTACCGCCACACGCCCACACTGGACACCAACACAGAGACCTGGAGGCCGTCACGCTGCCGAGGTCACGCTGCCGAGGTCACGCTGCCGAGGTCACGCTGCCGAGGTCACCCTGCCGAGGTCACGCTGCCCTTGGAAGCACAAAAACATCCCCTGATGTTCATGGATTTGTGTTGGATGTTTAGGTCTGCATTTCCTCCTCTGTGTTCTGCTGCGCTGCCTCTTTAATGCGCCGCCTGGATCTGGACTCAGCGGAGGAAACCTGAAGCCACAGTATGGATTTCTGCTGCGGCCGTAGTATCTGATGCGTCGTAGCGGCGAGCGCCTTCCTCCGCTGTAACGTCTGACTCAGCGTGGGCGAGAAGGTAAACACGGAGCCATGAGGCGTCAGGAACCGATTCTCCAGAAGTGAAGAGTTACTACAGTATGAAACTCGCTGCTGTTCATTCAGGACCAGGAACAAAACTCCACTTCCTGGTTTCATTACCCAGGAAGAACTTGGAATTTATTCTATATTCAGTTTAGTTGGATTCCTGTTAATGTTTAACTAATTGATTTATTAAAGGCAAAAAAACTACAAACCAACCTGTTCAAGTGAAAAATATTCACCCTGTCAGCCTGGTTACTGGTTAATATGGCTGAACTTTGGACTTTCAGGACGTTTGATTTTTATCATTTCCATCGTTTTCTAATGCGATTCTTCAAAATGTGTTTAAAAATGTTGATTTTAATCAGTAAATGAATCAGACTGCCTCAATAAAATGTAATAATGGGATAAAATGCAGATTTTCTTGGTGAAAAGGTTCGATATGAGTCGCCTGGTGAGTGAAGGTGGCTTTGGTCGACCCGGTTTCAGATCGGGTCGGATGGATCCAAACCAGAACATCTGAAACGCTCAACAAGCAACATGAAGCATCACAGACCGACCAAGCATGGTGGTGGCTGAGTCATGCTGAGGGCCTCGGAGATCTGGAACATGAGCAGATCTGTTTCTAGCCATGACGGGCCCAGTATGACGGTCCCAGTATGACGGTCCCAGTATGACGGGCCCAGTATGACGGGCCCAGTATGACGGGTCCAGTATGACGGACCCAGTGTTGCCCCAGTAGAACCAGTGAGTGTGTTTACTGGTTTCATGGTGCTGTTGCATTCAGATCGTTTCTCTGCTGCGATAAATAAAACATCGGAGCAGCTGGAGAAAACCTCATGAATATGGGAGCTGCTCAACCTGCCGCCACCAACAGGCGGATGGAAAATACTGACAGATAAATATTATCAACATTCAGCAAACACGACCAAACACACACACCACCATCAGGCATTTCTCCAGCTTACCCAGTACAACCAGTAAACCAGAACAAACTGGGTTTCCCCGTTTCTGATGTTTTGGTTTGGGTCCCGCTCCTCGTTATCCTCCCTCTCTGGCTGGTCTACAGCGCTACTGTTACCATGACCACCGGGTTCGGGAGGGAAATGTCAGCATGTAAATGTGATAGTTAACGTTGACTGCAGACAAAACGGGACGAAGACGTAAATGTCAAAACATTCATGGGATTGGTTTAGACGGCAGGAATGAACTGAGCTTCCAACCTTTCTACACTTAGAACAAAAACAATTTGCACAAACCCAAACCGCTTATATAGACCCCAAAACCACTTCTATAGACCCCAAAACCACTTCTATAGACCCCAAAACCGCCTCTATAGACCCCAAAACCACTTCTATAGACCCCAAAACCACTTCTATAGACCCCAAAACCGCCTCTATAGACCCCCAAACCGCCTCTATAGACCCCAAAACCGCCTCTATAGACCCCACAACCGCCTCTATAGACCCCAAAACCACTTCTATAGACCCCAAAACCACTTCTATAGACCCCAAAACCACTTCTATAGACCCCAAAACCACTTCTATAGACCCCAAAACCACTTCTATAGACCCCAAAAAAACTTCTATAGACCCCAAAACCGCTTCTATAGACCCCAAAACCACTTCTATAGACCCCAAAACAACTTCTATAGACCCCAAAACCACTTCTATAGACCCCAAAACCGCTTCTATAGACCAAAACCACTTCTATAGACCCCAAAACAACTTCTATAGACCCCAAAACCCCTCTATAGACCCCAAACCACTTCCATCCACCCCAAACCACTAACATTAAGCCAAACGTTTCATAAACCTGGCTGGGAATGTTGTCCCCGTCCTCCTCTGGGATTGGCCGAGAGAAGCTGCGGTCGTTATGGGAACAAAGTGAGCGCTGGGCGGGCGATTAGCCTGCAGTAATGAGCCGACAGGTGGTCAGTCAGAGCGCAGGTGTTCATCTGTATTCACGGCCCCCTCTGGCTCTGAGACTGGACCAGAACCGTCCAGAACCGGGAATACCACCTCAACCTGCCTGTTACAGTGAGAGTGTGTGTGTGTGTGTGTGTGTGTGTGTGTGTGTGTGTGTGTGTGTGTGTGTCACACCTGTCTCTGAATCAGCACCAGCATCTGCTCTCCTCCTCCATCAGCCGCTCCACCGTTTTTGGATCTTCCACTTCCCTGTTGGCCCTGAAGGCATCACGAACACGCCGCAGTGCATACGTCCTGCAACACACACACACACACACACACACACACACACACACACACACGCTGTGGTTTCATTTATTATAAGGAAAGGCAGGCCAACGAGCGGAGAGGGAGGGAAGCAGGAGCTGCTAAGCCCTGGGAGGAGTTCAGGAGCAAACAGCCGACCAGAGGTGGAAACAGCTCCACACTAAACCAACAGGAAGATAAATTAGAGCCAAACAAACCTCAGGGCGGCGCAATAAAAAACAACAACCGCTTATTTATTTGTTTTTCTGCTCCTCGCATATAAAGAAACCTGCAGCAGCACAAAAAGATGCTGCTGATGAGCGAGCGCCGCAGCGGGAGCCGCTTCCTGCTTTATGAGCACAGTATCCCCCAGGACCTGAGGAGAGAGGAGGATGAAGGCTCAGCAGTGACACTGCGGCTTCAGTCGGCAACGCAACGAGATGCAGCAACCAGCCAATCAAAGAGCAGCAGGCCAGGTACTGAAAACCTGGAGGTCATTAATAGCATCAACCTGGGGAGAATAAGATGGGATGGACAGCCTGACCAGCGGACATCCTGTTGATGGACAGAACAGGATGTTCTGTCCCAGCAGGGGAACTCGGATTGGACGGGTTGACGGACATAGTGAGTGATGGACAAATTAATGGATGGATGGACTTTAAGTTGACTCGATGTTTTCATTGCTGCTGTCAGAACATCTTGTTTCTGCAGAAACTAAAAGTGTTTCTGAGGCCTGGAGTCCAAAGACAGACTGGAGAGATCCAGATTAGAGTCTGCCTGAAGAGAAGGAAACCAGAAAGACGCGAAGGACGGATCAGAGAAAGAACTGATAGTTACTGTTGTATCTGTATTTATTAATAAGCAGCAGCAGCTTCTGTACCTGTCAGCTCATTGAGGGAAAACCCGACAGCCAGAGACTCCAGACAGTGAATGACTGAACGGCGTGTTTGTGAGAGAGTGAGTCATCCTGTCATGGGAACTTCAGAGGGAAATCTCCTCTCTGATCTTCAGACGAAGAGACAGGAAGGGAAGAGGAGACGAGGAAAGGAGGCGAGGAGACACTGAGACTGGATTTTCACAATCACTTATTCATCACAAGTTTGTCATCTTGGTGATAAGTTGGCAGTTCTTAGAGCATCCATGCAGCGTGGAGGATGCTGGGTGGAGGGTGGTGGGTGGAGGGTGGTGGGTGGAGGTGCTGGGGGGAGGGTGGTGGGTGGAGGGTGGTGGGTGGAGGATGCTGGGGGGAGGATGGTGGGGGGTGGATGCTGGGTGGAGGGTGGAGGATGCTGGGGGAGGGTGGTGGGTGGAGGATGCTGGGGGGAGGGTGGTGGAGGGAGGGTGCTGGGGGGAGGGTGGTGGATGCTGGGGGTGGATGCTGGGTGGAGGGTGGTGGATGCTGGGGGGTGGATGCTGGGGGGAGGATGCTGGGTGGAGGATGGTGGGTGGTGGATGCTGGGGGGAGGATGGTGGGTGGAGGATGCTGGGGGGAGGATGCTGGGTGGAGGGTGGTGGGTGGAGGGTGGTGGGTGGAGGATGCTGGGTGGTGGATGCTGGGGGTGGATGCTGGGGGGAGGATGCTGGGGGGAGGATGCTGGGGGGAGGATGCTGGGTGGAGGGTGGTGGGTGGAGGGTTGTGGGTGGAGGATGCTGGGGGGAGGATGCTGGGTGGAGGGTGGTGGGTGGAGGATGCTGGGGGGAGGATGCTGGGTGGAGGATGCTGGGGGGAGGATGCTGGGTGGAGGGTGGTGGGTGGAGGATGCTGGGTGGAGGGTGGTGGGTGGAGGATGCTGGGTGGAGGATGCTGGGGGGAGGATGCTGGGTGGAGGGTGGGTGGAGGATGGTGGGTGGAGGATGCTGGGGGGAGGATGCTGGGGGGAGGATGCTGGGGGGAGGATGCTGGGTGGAGGATGCTGGGGGGAGGATGCTGGGGGAGGATGCTGGGTGGAGGGTGGTGGGTGGAGGATGCTGGGGGGAGGATGCGGGTGGAGGATGGTGGGTGGAGGGTGGTGGGTGGAGGATGCTGGGGGGAGGATGCTGGGGGGAGGATGCTGGGGGGAGGATGATGGGGGGAGGATGCTGCAGGTGGAGGATATTTTTAAGCAGGGAAGTAAAGACATCAGGAGGAAAGAGAGGAGAGACAACAGCAGGATTAGGACACCTGACAGTCGGGTTGTTCTTAATTACGATAATTCCTCCTTTCCATTTAGAGATCCAGTACATTATAGTAACCAGGAAAACATCATTCCTGAACCCAGTGGGTCCCTTGGTTGGTGGTACAGTTAGGGTGGAGCTTCTGGCATTACTCAACACATCCATTGATTGGGGACAGAAAAGGTCACGTCTGTCGTTGCTCTTGTTTGACGATGCGTTTGGTGTTTGAGTTCAACCCCTTTGGTTAACAGTCAGGCTTTTTAAAGCTCAGTGATCGGTGATCTGTGAGAAACCCAACCCTACGTAAAGCCACTTCTCCGCCTCATTGGCTTGAACTTTTCCAGATTCTTCTCCATTAGCAGATCAGTTCCTCCCTGTTTTCAGTAAATCACTACACTGACGGCTGACCCTGTTAGTTCATTGGTCACTTTAGACTTCAAGCATCTCAACCACCCCAATGGCCGGCGGACATCTTGTCTGCCGTCAAAAAGCTTTCTTGAGGTGGAAGAGTGTGTCCTTGGTGAATGTGCATCAACTCTTAGAGCAGAATGATTTCAGCGGGAGAGTCTCTTCAGAACGAGCAGCGGTGAAGATCCAAGGACCGGTGGTCAACGTTCTGTCAGTGGAACTACGCAACATCGGTTTGCTTTGGTGTGAATTTCATTCCTTGTTTTCATAAAGTTCAATCGCCTTGGCTAGAACCAAACCACACATTAATCAGACGGAGTGAGACTTGATAAAGGAGAAGCAGCTAAAGACTAAAGTCTTCAAGTCCCATATTTGATCTAAGCCAGCAGATCAGCTATGATCCGAGACAACTTCAGATGTAACAGATCAATCACTGTTCATCTGTAAAACCAGGGAATGTTGTTCACTTTTACCAGGAGTCGGTACTTTGGTTTCAGGTCTGCCTGACTTTGCAGGAAACACCACAGAGCTGGAAATGAAACAGTTTGTATTTACTATATTCTGCCTGTCCACCCTGAGCCGACCCAAAGTGCTGAGGTTCTGCTCTCTGCAGAACGCTCTGCTCCTCATCACCTCACTGTTTAACTTTCCTGTGCAAGATCATGAATGTTTCATCTGACTTCTGTTGGTTTCCGTGTTTTCTCTGGTTGACAAAACCTTCCAAACTCAGGCAGAGTTTTATTCCAGGAAGAGCAGCGAGCGATCGGCTGCCTGGCTGTTAGTGCAGCATCAACAGAACAGCGCCGGCAGCAACTTCTGGCATATTCAGGTCACTCCACAACAACCTGGAAGCTCACAGGTACGGCTCAGAGCAGGAGCAAATCACTCCCACACGCTGCGCTGCGCTGCTCTGCTCCCCGCCAGGACAGAGCGGCACTTTGTGTGTCAAAGAGGAGGCGCAGCTCAGAGAGGATGGAGATGTTCACAAGCAGCGGCTCCATGCTAGCATTTTATCAGGAGTCTGACGCAGAGACAAGAGATGTCAGTAAAATAGAAATTTTATAGCTTGATTTTAATACGATTCATTTTTTTATTTCCACTCTGATGTGGGAACATTCCTGAAAAAATGTTATTTTACCAGACACTTTGAAGAGGCTCTGATGCGATCCAGAACATTTTGACTTGTTTCCTTGCAACTGAACCTCGACTAAAATATTAGTGAGGGAAAAAAATGGCTGATTCATAAAACTGATTAGCCAGAAGTCATGACCTTGTTCAGCAGCTCCACAGCAAATGCTGTGATCTAACACACAAGAACCAAGTTACAGCGAATAAAGCAAAATGAACACACTAAAAAATAAATAACAAGAATATAAAGCTATCTACACAAAACAAGAAGAGAATAAATTTACATTTTTTTCCCCTCCTAAACACTCAAAGTACACAAAAATATGTATTTAAGTGCTGAAAAAGTGGATTGTTCATAATATGTCTCCGTTAAATCTGCCTCTGTTTTCCTGGGATTGTAACGTGTTGCTACCACTAGGTGGCGATAATGCCCCAAGTTGTCAAAGCTTCGAAACCTCATGAAGACGTAAAGCCCAACAGGAAGCCGTCCTTTTATGGCTGATAGAATAAAACTATGCTTTATTGTCCCTCAGTGGGAGGTTTCAGCTTTATCTCATTCACTACGACTCAACAATATTTCTAGTTTTTATGGTTATGAAGATGCTGAAGTAAATCCCAGATCAGCTGACTGGCCGGTTCTGCTCCAGATAAAGTGGTCCACAGGTCGGGTTGTTCCAGAACCCAGAACCTCCAGAATCACCACTCTACCAAGTCCATTCAGTCAGAACTGAACCTCGGATCTCTTGTGATCATTTCACAGAATTTACACAATGAAGATAAAGCTTCGTTTACAGAAGTAAACTGACGACATTTTCATATTTTAATTGGGGAAAAGCTTCTAATTTTGACAGAACGCCTAAACAGCTGGAGTCAGCTGCAGTTGTCATGCCAGGCCATCAGATGGTGCTGTGATTTTAGCATGTCATTGAACACACATGTGCTTTTGACCCTTAGCTTCACCTCAGTCACCCAGCTCCGATGAACCAAGCGCCCATGTAAACCAAGCTGTGCTAAATTGAACAGGTCCAGTATCAAGATGCCACCTGTCGTTGCTTTTGTTTCTATCAGAGTACCTCACACCTCCAGCAGGTGTTACAGAAAAGTTTCACTTGATTCCTCGTTTCAAATCGTCCTGGTGTCAGAACTTCCAGCCACTGGAGAACCAGAACATAGAAGACTATGTGAGATCCAGTTTGAAATATCCAGATTTTTAAAATGTAGTAAGCCCCGCCTCCTGACAAAGTTCGGAAAATGTAACCAAAAGTGGGCGGAGCCAAGAGCCACAAAGGGAAGTGGCCAAATTGGAGGCTGATTGAAGCATGTTAAGGTTTGCCACTTATCACAATATTCAACTCTTCAGACCCTCTAGAAACTTTTTTTCGTCATTAAAACCGACTAGAGACAAATCTAGCAACATTTCTCTTATATGAGATTGGAGACTTTTATGGTTTTATACCCGAACCAGAGCTGTGACGTAGACTTTAAGATTGAACCGCTGGAACCAATTGGAAAACTGCAATACCACTGTTCGTCCCAAAGAGGGCAGCACTAAGACAGCTTCGAGACAAATATTGCATAGTTTTAAAAAAATGACATACAAAAAATCCTATTAAACAGGAACATAAAGATAGCGCCTTCAAAGGCCAATGTAGACAGTTAATCTGCGAAAAACAATGTTGATTTGGAGTTACTTTGACTGGAGGATTTGATCCATATCTCGAAATAAAACATCAATAGTGACGTTAGATTTAACAAACATTATGAGATGTAAACTATTTAAAGCAGCAGTTAATTCACCACGACCTGAACACCATCAGATTTAAACGTGTTTTAAAGCTGATGTTGTGCGCATTAATGTATGCTCACATTGATGGTTTAAACTGCCAGAGCTCATGTTAGCCTGGAAACTGAACCTTCAGGTCTCCTCCAGGACATCCAGCGTTTCATAAACACTGAGCTGCTCCATGTAAACGCAGCGGCTAGCTGCGTGTTTAACCACTGACAGGCGGTTTAAACCGGCCGGAAAGACCGCTCACACCGCCGACAGCCCCGGACTCACCTGTAGTTGTAGGAGGGGAACCTGCTGCTCTCCTTCAGCATCATCTTGTAGAGAGAAATCACCTGAGACCGAGTGGAAGCAGCCATGATGCTACACAGTGCGCGTCTCCGTCCCTCTTTCCGTTTGAGCTCCAGGACCCTTGTTTCTAGGCAACCAAGTCGTGCCTGAACAGAAACAACTATTTCAAATTGTATGTTAATCATAATTTGATTATTTGTTTTATATTAGAGAAACTTTGGTTTAAAATGGAAAGATTAATAATATAATAAACATACATTGTGACGTAAAAGAATATTTATTGTCTTTAAGCCGAAGAGGCGCATCTCCGCCTACTAAACAGCAGCCCAACACAGAAGAGAGACAGAAGGTGAGTTAGCTTTGCTATAAATATGTTTTTAAGTTGAGAAACATGAGGCTTCAATGAATGAACTACACCTCCAGGGTTAAATTATTCACTACACCCCACTACCTGCTGGTGGTTCGGCTTTTTCACGGCTTCACTGTACACATAAAGCGTCTTTGACAACCTTGCTGCAGGGACAACTGGCTGAGCTGCAGCTGCTTTAAATGAACTTAACCTCCATGGTCACACAGACACAAGCTATTAAACCTCCGACAACCTTTAAATATACAGCGAGTAGGTTCTGCTGTGACCATTGTTAAACTGGACTCTACTGAACCAGAACCAAAAAGTAACAAAGCTACATGTTCCCAAAACGGAACTAAGGCTTCACTTCATTAATCCGAGTTTATCAATTCAAAAATATTTGAATTAAAGGAAAAAAAAAACTAAATGTAATTGTAAGAATATTTATTTGGCCTATGATGCTGTGTGCGGGAAGGCTCTCCTGTAGCAGTCTGTCGTGCAACACAGTCAAAGAGGCCTCTGACTGAAGACTGTTGCTGTATAGCAGCCTAATGGCAGCTCTGACATGCTAACAGCTCAATATCCAGGCAACAGAGATGATATTTACAGCAACACGTCCTGAATGACTCCATCAACTCTTAGCTAGCTATGCTAATCCACCTCTTTTGCTTTTGCTGCTCCTTTTTAAATCTGTCTGGTCAGAAAGATGGACAGAGAGATGTTGGAGTAGGGGATGTGATGCTTTAAACTTCCTCCTCCTTTCTGTGTCCAGGAAGCCTCCCTTTAAACTGCTCTTGGATTTGGGGTCATAGGTCAGGAAGATGCAAACCAGCTGCTCAAATTGAAAGAACTGTCTAAACAAAATCTCTAAAATGCCATTGGTGATCTTTTCCTGATGATGAGGTCTAAATATTGTTCCAATGGGTTTAAACCAGGTCACTATCTGTGTGTGTGTGTGTGTGTGTGTGTGTGTGTGTGTGTGTGTGTGTGTGTGGTCTGATCTTTAGCCTGGATGTGTAAAAGGTCACAGACACATCCTGACTCCTGATATCCGTCTGTCTTTGAGAGTAAAGGTCACGGTTCCGGCTGTGTGTGTCAGCCCATGTTGGTTCTTGTTGGCGCTGATGCGACCCGGTCCATTTTTAGACAGGTGTTTGCTAAAACCCAGCCAATACACATGTTGGCTTTTTCATGGCTTCACTGTACATAAAGCGTCTTTGGCAACCTTGCTGCAGAGACAACTGGCTGACTGTTAGAACTAACACAGCTCTTAGGTCTAAATGATTTTTAGACTTTTGTGTCATCTTTGTGACATTTTTCTCATTTTCTGGTCCTTTTTATCCATTATTTTATCTTTGAGTTTTGATTTTAATTTGTCCTATTTTTTTCATAAGTTTTCAATATGTGGAAGCCAAAAAATCTCAAACATTTGTGAAGGAAGTAGTTTGTGACTTTTATTTTAAAAAGTGTGTTTTGGCTATATTTTAGAAATCCTATAAGCTAAACTTTCAGAACCATAAATCCTGACTTCTGCAGAACTTAATTCTCAAATTAAAAGGTTTAAACAGAAGCAGTTCTCAGCGGCTGACATGGCGGTTCTGGAGGGAATCACCAGAAACAGAAAACTTCTATTTTAGAGGAAATGCTGAATAATATTGCAGTCCATACATATTTAAACCCATTTCTGAAACTGCTTTTCATTCACCCCCTAAACTTTATCATGTATGAACATCACAGTGTGAATCATGTTAGCCTGCATCTGAAGTTGTCTGTCTTCTTTACCTGTTTGGGGTTCAGCCAATCAACAGCAAGGAAAATAAATGCCACTTCTGGATTGGCTGCTTTTCAATCGCCAACCAATAGCTTGTTAGGCATAGCTATAAAAAATAGATTTTTTTAGAATATCTTGGCTAAACTCTACAAAAAACAGAAACAGGTGAATTTTGTAAGTATTTAGGAGGTAAGTTGCACAGAATAGGCTGCGCTCTGCTGTTACCTGGTTTTAAAGACAGGTGAACCAGAAGAGCACCTGCATCATGATGTCAGAACAGCTCAGCTTTAATCAGAGGAAAAACGGACGTACCGAGAAGAGAACCCTGTGGCGCCCCACATGGCCGAGGAGGAAGATGGATTATTAATTATTATGGATTATTAATCTTAATTAATGGACATCATCAGATAAAGTCCAACTGTTGGAATTCTGATCGTAAGAGCTGTGAAAGTCCAAACATGACCAAATATTATAGAGACACAGATCACTTCCTGCTGTTCCTGAGAAAAACAGCAAGTTTAGTAAATAAATGTTGGAGATGTTTGTTTCCTCCGGTGTCTGTCAGGAGCTGAGTGACGGACGGCTCTGCTCTCTGATCAATAAAGGAGGATTTCCTTCAGTCCAGCCGACGGACCGACTCATCCAGACTCATCCTCTGAATCCTGCAGATCAGCAGCAGCTTCTGGGCCGCAGCGCCTCTCATCCTGCGTCACGCCTCATTTCCCAGTCCCAGGTCGGCTCTGATCACTTCCGTCAGCTTCAGCTGCACAGGACCCAAGAGAACCTGCACCGTCTGCCCAATAACAGCAAAGGCAGGAGCCAGGTTACAGGGAATCACTGGCAATAGCTCCGGTTCCGAAGCAGCTGGTTTATATCAAAGCGCTAAAGCGCTACATCAGAGACTCAAGGAGGACAGGCTGCATAAAGACGGGCGGGTGGAGGCTTGGGAACGGGAAGATCCGGGCTTTAGCGGCTCCATGCCTGCCGGGGGCAAATTCACCTCATGTTATTTAGAACTGCCAGTGGTATTTATAACTGACACGCCCGCGAAGCCGCTAACAGCAGAGCTAACGGAGTTTAGAGGTTTTGACAACTTTGAAAATATTTAGCGAACTTAGCTTCCCGTAATTAATTTGTTTCTAATAAACTCTAATTTATTTCCGTTGAATAAAGTTTGGCTGTTGTTTTAGTTATGAACTGTTTAAGATTCAAGTAGAAGTTTACCTTCATGCTTTATTGTGAAGTCTGTTTTACTAGCATGTCATAGTGGCATCAACTGGTTGAATTTTAGCAATTTAGCATTTGCTTCTGCTAAATCAATGATGTTGTAGCACTTAAGTGTTAGCTTAAACTAAAATATATGTTGTATTGCTTTAAAATTAGAATTAAATTAAATACTGTGTTTTTGTAGCGCTTTAGCATTTGCTTCTGATAATTTCTGTGTTGTAGTATCCTAATGTTAGCTTCTGCTAAATACTGCTTTAGCGTTAGCAGAACTACTGTCTTCTCTTAGGGCTTTAGGGTTAGCGCAGCTAGCAGAGTTAGTGCAGCTAGCTTTTAGCTCCCTTAGCTCTCCTCAGAAGGTAAGGCTTTGGGCCTGTTGTGCAGCGGTTTGGCGGCGCGGCGCTCTGCTGCTGAACCCTGCGAGCTGATTGGATGTAATGAAGCCTGATGGTGGGAGCAGCTTCCCTCTCAGCCCTGATGACCTGCTTTGATTCTCCGGCTGCTCGTTTCCGTCTCGCTGAGCCGTGAGCTGCAGATTGAGTTTTCCGTCTCCTTTCCACCTGGCAGATCAAGGACCGCGCGCGTCCTGGCCATCGATCGCTTCCTCCAGTGTTCAGACGGCGGAAGAACTGTCTGGGACCCGAGCCGGCCTCCTCTGTGGAGAGAAAAACCAGCCGGTAAACTCTGACATTTACAGTCGTGTTCAATAAAACTGGTGTTCAGTCTGCGCCGTGAAGGAGCTCCAGGCCTCCTGAATGTCAGTCCGGCTCCTCGGGTTGAATTACTCAACGATTCCCAACGCGCCGCCGGCCGCTGTGTTTAATGTCAGGCTGACGCCATGGAAACCAACACCTTGACCCCCAGGGTGACCTCAGCTTTGAACTCTGACCTTTTCCAGGTCCTCTGACTCCAGAAGCTGCTCTGGAGAACAAACAAAAAATGGAATAATTTTCCAGGTTATAAGTGAAAAAATCAGAGCTTTTCTCTGACATTCTGGAATTATTTAATGAAACTCGTACATCTTGTTGAAAAGTGAATTTGTCTTGATTGGACTGAACTCAGATATTTTCAGTATGAACTAGATAAAAGGTGTTTATTGTTTTACAGTGCATTTGTTGGTGACAGAGCGTCTGCTGGACGTTCATTAATCTGGACGAGTCGCAGCTCGGCGCCTGCAGCAGCTCGGCGCCTGCAGCAGCTCGGCGCCTGCAGCAGCTCGGCGCCTGCAGCAGCTCGGCGCCTGCTGCAGCTCGGCGCCTGCTGCAGCTCGGCGCCTGCAGCAGCTCGGCGCCTGCTGCAGCTCTTCCTCTCTGTCCTGTTTCTGGGATCCGTTCTCTCTCCGATACATCGGTGTTGATGTCGGATCAGTTGATCTGGACTGATGTTAAAGACTGATACTTGTTTCCATCGTGTTGGATGCAGAGCAGGATCGTGGAGTTTAACTGCGTTTGGTTTCACACTGGTGAAAGTGAAAGGAGATACTTATGATATCAATAAATATCAATTATCGGCCATAACAGATTTTATTATTGATGGATCACCAACCGTCTCCGTCCATCAGCTCCTGACTGGACCCTGATTGAACCAGAGCTCTGGTTCTGTTACATGTTGAGTTTCTGAGCAGCATGCGGTTCTGGTTCTGTGGTTCTGGTTCTGTTGGTGTGAATAAACTTGTTTTCTGCAGAAAGCTCTGGGTTTTCCTGGCGCTGCGTCTCTGTGTGCTGGTGTCCTCCATCTGTTGAAGGAAAGCCTTCCTGAACCTGCTGAGCCTACCTCACACACACACACACACACACACACACACACACACACACACACACACACACACACACACACACACACACACACACACACACACACACACACACACACACACATGGTTATATAACCTGTGAAATTCACTCCCATCGTGTCAGAACTCGGTGAAATCAGGGGAAGGAAAAACCGGTGCAACATCCAGCTTCATCCATTCAGCATTTTCAGCCTCTTTCCTTTTAAATCTGCTTTTCTGTGACCTCTGACCCCTCAGTGAAGTCTGAAAGTGTCGTCTTCTGATTGTTAAAAGCTGTGAAAATCAAACCTGAAGGTGCTAATTAGAGGCAGCAGAGTGTCGGGCCCCGAGGGCCTTCAGTCAACCTGCTGAAGAGTTTCAGTTAGCGCGGAGCGGCCATAAACGTTTTGCAGCTTTCCATGTTCAGCCAATCCTGAGCGAGTTAGCGCTGCAGTGGCGGCGCAGCGAGGAGGTTAACAGCTGCTCAGGTGGTTTCCTCACCTTCTGCAGCTCCTGCAGCAGCAGGAAGTGACACGGCATCAGGCTTAGAGAGCTTAGCTTCTGTTAGCCTCTGATGCTACCGCAGGCATCAAGCTGACCTCTGACCTGGTGCTACAGGTCTGCTAGTCTAAATAGAACAGCAGAACGAACCGCTGTGGTTTGGTAGAGACGATCATTTTATTGAGTTGTTCCGGCCGATTCTGGACCCGGTCAGCCGATTTTAATGATCTTCATTCTTAGAAGATCAATATAAATCAGCTTTAGTCCCACTGAGGAGGAGGAGGAACTTGGCCCAACATTGAACCAGAACCGGGTCGGGCCGGTTCTGGTCTGTTCTGGTTGGTTTAGGTTGCTAAGCAGAAAACTCGTTAAGCCCGGTAAAAATATTAAAAGTCGACAGGAAATCTGAAAATATGACAATCTGGATTCCTAAACATAAAAAGTGTAAATGAAAATAAACCAGGTTTTGCAGTTTCATTAAATCCTAATGAATTAAAGGGCCAGTTATGTAAACGATGATTGATGATGAGTCAGCAGATTAGTCATTCAGGTATTTATTATTTAGATTAGCTGATTTTTTTATGGCAGTTTGAAATAATACCATACCAACTTTATTTATAAAGCACTTTAAAACAACCACAGCTGAAACAAAGTGCTGTACATAAAATAGATAAAAACAAATACAGTTTAAAACAACAAACATACAATATAAAACTAGATCTCGCTGGAGTTGAAAGCCAAGTAAAATAAATAGGTTTTAAGACGAGCTTTAAAATAATAAAAAATAACTTTATTCTTTCTTCACACAGATTCAGCCTCAATGAACGCTTAAATCAAATCAGATGCTCTACAATATGCTAACGTCCAAGCTAGCCAGCACGCTGCCTCATGTGCTAACTGTGCTAACAGCTAATGCTAGTTAGCGTTAGCGGTGCCGTGGCCTCAGCGGGTGAAGTCGCTGACCGGAGGGGAGAGCTGCAGCCTCATCAGTTTGTTTCAGTGGATCAGATTCTGATTCATTCATTAATATTCATGTGATAAACTGACTTTATGTTCAAACTCATGTTATGATTGTGAAACTTCTGGTTAACGGGGAGTTCTGCTCTCTCTCTGTGTCTCTGCGCTGTGGGGAACGTCAGGTCAGGTTTTCCTGTTTCTGGTGGATCAGCGTTTCCTGCAGCGCCGCATCAACACCAGTTAGCTTCAGGTTTCTGTCGCCGCAGCGCAGGAAAACCCAGCCGGAGAGGTGATTGATTGGGACGGGCGGCGGCGTCCCTCAGGGCGGCGGCCTGCAGCGATCGATGGGCCGAACCCGTCGCTGCTGTCACAAAGTCCTGACGCCTCCAAACTGACCCAGCTGCTATGAAATAATAATGAAGGATGAGAAAGAAAATCTGCTTCACACAGAAACCAGGCAGGATTGGAGGAGGAAGTGACATCACAGCTCACCCTCATAAACAAGGAAATGTTTATGATGGTTTGAACCCAGTTGGTTCAGGATGTGTCGAAATGACCCTAAAGGTCAGATCTGATGTAATGGATTATGAATGAAATGGAAACGTAAACTCTGCAGGTTGATCACTTCCTGCTCGCGGCGTGTTTTCAGTCCGGATGATTCCCTGAGCGTTCCTGCAGCGCCGCGTCCTTTAAGCCTCTCTGATGCTTCTTCACGTGTGTCACCATGGCGACGGGGCTGGGATGTTTGCAGGGTTCTGGTTTCGGTACGAGGCGCCACTGGCCGCACAGCGCCGCTGCACAGCGCCGCCGCCGCACAGCGCCGCCGCCGCACAGCGCCGCCGCCGCACAGCGCCGCCGCCGCACAGCGCCGCCGCCGCACAGCGCCGCCGCCGCACAGCGCCGCCGCACAACCTTTGGCAGCCAAACGAGGGATTTTCTCAACAACCCTCACAACCCCTGAGTCATACTGGTGCTGCTGGTGATGCTGGTGATGCTGGTGATGCTGGTGATGCTGGTGATGCTGGTGATGCTGGTGATGCTGGTGATACTGGTGATACTGGTGATGCTGGTGATACTGGTGATGCTGGTGATACTGGTGATGCTGGTGATACTGGTGATGCTGGTGATACTGGTGATGCTGGTGATGCTGGTGATACTGGTGATGCTGGTGATGCTGGTGATACTGGTGATACTGGTGATGCTGGTGATACTGGTGCTGCTGGTGATACTGGTGATGCTGGTGATGCTGGTGATGCTGGTGATACTGGTGATGCTGGTGATACTGGTGATACTGGTGATGCTGGTGATACTGGTGATGCTGGTGATACTGGTGATGCTGGTGATGCTGGTGATACTGGTGATGCTGGTGATGCTGGTGATGCTGGTGATGCTGGTGATGCTGGTGATACTGGTGATGCTGGTGATACTGGTGATGCTGGTGATACTGGTGATACTGGTGATGCTGGTGATACTGGTGATGCTGGTGATACTGGTGATGCTGGTGATGCTGGTGATACTGGTGATGCTGGTGATGCTGGTGATGCTGGTGATGCTGGTGATGCTGGTGATACTGGTGCTGTTGATGATACTGGTGATACTGGTGATGCTGGTGATGCTGGTGATGCTGGTGATGCTGGTGATGCTGGTGATGCTGGTGATACTGGTGATGCTGGTGATACTGGTGATGCTGGTGATACTGGTGATGCTGGTGATGCTGGTGATGCTGGTGATACTGGTGATACTGGTGATGCTGGTGATACTGGTGATACTGGTGATACTGGTGATGCTGGTGATACTGGTGATGCTGGTGATGCTGGTGATGCTGGTGATGCTGGTGATACTGGTGCTGTTGATGATACTGGTGATACTGGTGATACTGGTGATGCTGGTGATACTGGTGATGCTGGTGATGCTGGTGATGCTGGTGATGCTGGTGATACTGGTGATGCTGGTGATACTGGTGATACTGGTGCTGCTGGTGATACTGGTGATGCTGGTGATACTGGTGATGCTGGTGATACTGGTGATACTGGTGATGCTGGTGATACTGGTGATGCTGGTGATGCTGGTGATACTGGTGATGCTGGTGATACTGGTGCTGCTGGTGATACTGGTGATGCTGGTGATACTGGTGATACTGGTGATGCTGGTGATGCTGGTGATACTGGTGATGCTGGTGATACTGGTGATGCTGGTGATACTGGTGCTGTTGATGATACTGGTGATACTGGTGATACTGGTGATGCTGGTGATACTGGTGATGCTGGTGATGCTGGTGATGCTGGTGATACTGGTGATGCTGGTGATGCTGGTGATGCTGGTGATGCTGGTGATACTGGTGATGCTGGTGATACTGGTGATGCTGGTGATACTGGTGCTGTTGATGATACTGGTGATACTGGTGATACTGGTGATGCTGGTGATACTGGTGATGCTGGTGATGCTGGTGATGCTGGTGATGCTGGTGATACTGGTGATGCTGGTGATACTGGTGATACTGGTGCTGCTGGTGATACTGGTGATGCTGGTGATGCTGGTGATGCTGGTGATACTGGTGATGCTGGTGATGCTGGTGATGCTGGTGATACTGGTGCTGTTGATGATACTGGTGATACTGGTGATGCTGGTGATGCTGGTGATGCTGGTGATGCTGGTGATGCTGGTGATGCTGGTGATACTGGTGATGCTGGTGATACTGGTGATGCTGGTGATACTGGTGATGCTGGTGATACTGGTGATGCTGGTGATGCTGGTGATACTGGTGATACTGGTGATGCTGGTGATACTGGTGATACTGGTGATACTGGTGATGCTGGTGATGCTGGTGATACTGGTGA